CAGGTTGTAAACACACGCACCAACGCGTTTCTCACGCATACGCGTACGTGCAGAGCGGCTCGTTTTTTGGGGGTGCGTACGCGGTACGGGCCGCGCGTTTTCCCGCGAGCTTTTTACGCCGCTACTCTTTTTGCCATCCGGAAGGGAGGATGCACGAAACTGAAAAAAAAAAAAAAACGCGCGCTCTCTTCTCTAAACTTCTCGCTTTTATCCCCCTTTTCTTGTTACCGGTCTATCGATGGATTCTTTTAATTTTTTTTCCCCTTCTTTTACGAAAGAAAACCTCTAGGAAGGGACCGTGAAACTTGTTGAACGGGAAGGAGGTAGGACGGGACGTCTATAAAAAGGAGGAATGTTTTGCTCAAAATCTCGTAGTTTGGGGACGGAGTGCGATCAATCGTGGCGCGTGTATACGAGGCACGAAGACACTTCGGCACCTCCCGAAGGGCGCGCCGCGCGAGACATCGACATCCTGCGAGAGCCGCCGGGCTGCTGCGATGGCCCGGGCTTTGCGACGGGACGCCGACGGGAGAGCGGCGAAGAGCGCCCGCGCCACGACGCCGCCACCCGTCGCACACCGCTGCGCCCAGCGCCGAACGACGTCGTTCTCGTTGCATCGAGGCGCACCGCGCTCACCGCGCACGCCCTGTAGCGAGAGAATCGACTTATGGACCCTCGCCTTGCCTCTTCTCGCCTCGCCTCGCCTCTTCTCGCCTCGGATCAACATGATCCGGACGACGTACTGTCGATACCGTGTCGATTTTCAGAGGAAATTGAAATCTTCAAACGAGAGCAGATCTGTTTCCCCTAATATCTGTTCCATTTTTTCTACAATTTCTGGTATTAATATTTCTTGGTGTACTTTATCCGATTGAGTTAAGAATGTTATACAAATTATACTATGTATCTTGTTTTACACAGCTTGAAATACATTATTTCTTCATAAAGAAATGAGACATATTATATTATAAAAACAAGGAACTTGAACAAGAAAATGTTTTTATTTTTACCTTTTCGTAAAATAAGATATATGGTGCAATTCGGTGTGAAAATTAAAGTTATACATCTTGTGTCCACAGAATATAGATGTTACGATTCTTGTAAAATAATAATCATATAAATAAGTATTATTGATAAATATTGCAGATGTATATATATATATATATATATATATGCACACGCGCGCGTGCGCGCATGTATATACGTTTAGTAGAATGTTCTTATTGTATTACGGAAATTAAGATATAACAATAAATTTGTAAATAGTGTAACTTCGCGGATCTAATCATTTTCAGTCTTATACTAGATTTTCATGCACTTTTCACTTTTCTTCTGTATATATTCAATTGGCATTTGAACACTGTATCGTACATATATATATAATATATTAATTTCCCACACATTTTTGCCAAGCCAAGCCTCCGCACGTTATAGAAACAATCACGTATACTACAACCTACAACAAAAAAAATAAATCAAGTTAGACTGTAACAGATATTAGAAAGATCCGAAATTGATAGCAATGTTGGACTTACTATTAAAATTCCGCCGACAATGACATAAATTTTGACATTCTTCCAAAATAAGGAGCGTGCTAAGTTTCTACTTGTCTTTCTGAACGTCACGGACTAGAATAAAAAAGTGAATTTTATAATATTCTATGATTAACAATGTTAAGTTGTGAGCATATTTTTACATACATTGGCAGATAAATTTTCTGTTTTGTTTACAAGCAATTCTAATCGCTCGCCACGCATCGCTATATTGTCGATATTTTTTACCATTATGTCCTTAAGCTCGTCTAGCTCGCCATGAACTTTAGACAATCTATCAAGGTCTTTAGATTCGCTATAATGCTTCTAAAAAGGAAAAATGTAAAGTGTGAGACAGTGTTTCAAGATACATAATCAATTCTGACAGTACCATTTCGTTAGCCAAAACGTGGCCAAATTCTGTGTTCATGGCATAAGCTACGGCAGTTTGAGCACCTGGTCCATAAACAGCCAAAAATCTTCTCTTGATTTCATTGAGATACAAAAATGCTCTGGATCTTTGAAAATCCTGAAACAAAATTTTATTATATCGCTTAAAAAATGACACTGAAAAAACATGATTTTCGAATTATTACCGTGAATGAGTTAAGTCATCATTATTATATCAATCATCAAAAATGAACTAACTTGATTTTATGAAAAAAACGTTAAAATCGTCACAACTGAAAAAGGATAGTTTTTAAGAAAAATCGTCATAATTCAAAAAGGGTGATTCTTTTACGAATTTTGACATAAAAATGATAAAAATGATATTTAATCATGTTAAGAATATATTCTTTTTGCCGTTATTAATTGACTCAATAACTTTCTCAAAAGGGAAAGATAGTTTTTAACCTTTTCCAAAAAATTTAATTTTTTAAGTTGTGTCACTTTCAATCTAAATATTTGTGTGCCTTGATGTGCCTAATACATACATCGTCAGTAATGCACATGTAAATAAGGCGATCCTCGCAGATATAGTGAAAAAGATAAGGCCCTTGCGAGTACGTGAGTTTGTCATTGTCCGGTGGTATCTTTGCCAAGATTTTCGCTGTGACTTCTTCAAAGTTTCCAACGCATGCAGCATGTTTTGCCAATATAATTGTTCCGCGAGCTACCACACTGTATAAAATTGGCATATTGAAATCTGTAACAAAGTATATAGCATAAATGTGGTTAAATGTGATAAATAGATAACACATGTAAAAATTTTCTTTTATTTTTCACTAATATTAACTCAATTTTTCTTTAATCACACACATTCTCTCAGTGGGATTTGCTTATCATATCACAATTGAAAACAACATACTGCAATGTGGCTATATGCAGACAACTGTTCAATCTACTTTTAAACATGCAAATCGCTCATTTAAAAAATTAATAACACAAATTAGCAGTGACGTGAACAGTAATTTCATAAGTGCTCCATTATGTATATAGTCTCAATTTTAACCTCTAACAACCTCATTAAATTAAACTTCTCATTTTAATTATTTGAACTTCGAAATTTGAATACAAGGATACAACTAGAATACTTTTTTGAGGAAGAGATAAATCATCAGCCATCTAACATTTTTGACTTACCTCGATACAAAACAAAGTGTTTAAATGAAGGAACAGCTGCGCACTTTTTTGTTTACGCCTTCAACGATGTAACCCTGGTATTACGCGTGTTTCCGTCGATCCAAGAAGAATAATCAATCGATTGGTCTGTCGATTCTTCTCGGAAACACTGACCAAAACATCGAAATACTCTTTGCAGTTGTAAAATAGTCACATTTTCATGAAGTCATCGATAAGTGATCAGAGCGATATGGATGACAGTTCGTCAGTGGTTAGTGGTAGGCGGTAGCGTATGGTGGGGCATGAACGCCACGAACTTGACGTTTGTTCTTTTGATCTTGCGCACATTAAGAGGCGCGAAATTTGAAGCGACAATGCATTGAATACCAGTCGAATACTAATCGTAAGATTTATTCTGAGCAAATTATCATGACATTCAATAGGACCTCGAGGGTTCAGACATGATCGAAATAATATATCGATATTATCCACTATGGAAATAAAATTTTACATAAAATAATATCCATACAATTACCCTATAAGCGCATAATATTATTTAATATTAAGTAATATTTTAGGCATATTCTTATAATATTAAATGTAACATTTTAAGAATATTGTATTGAAATTATATAATATTAAATAATATTCTTGAAATATTAAATGAAAGGTTATATGTCCACTTCTGGTAATATTTTGTATAATTATTAAAAGTAACATTATTTAATGTTACTGTAATATTGTATAAACATTAAAAAGTATTATAACAAATTTTACTTTAATTTGTAAGACTGTTACATCTGTTTAGTATAAGTCACATTTCGGGCCGATTCCGGCGCCGATTCAACCCCCACCACCGCACAGCCGGGCGATCACGTGACGCTCTGCCTCTGATAAGAACTTTGCGTTACTGGATTGTGAATTCAAATTGTACTAAATTAAGAGAATAATTAAGATTTATAAATATTTTAATAATATTTCGTGGATATTAAGATATAATGCCTATGATATTATATAAGTGGACATATAATCTCTATAAAATACTCCCATAATATTAAAAAATATTATATGGTATTTTCGAAATATTATAATAACTTATTTTAATTTTTTAATAATATCCATATAACGTTCTAGAAGTATTTTGAGCTTATAGGATAATTAGGTATAGCTTTTAATATATTATGGGAGGACTCTGTTTGCCTACAAATTGGCTGCGTTTAGTAGAACGTTTATTTTGCACTGTTGCAAACTGTGAGGTGAAGTTTTCTTCACGCTCACATATCCTCACGGATCAGACTCTTAGATCTAGAAAAATGGTCTTATCTCAGCAGATAATCATAAATAAATATTTACAAAACTGTTGTGTTCCGCTAAACGCGCAGCCAATGCTCTAATACCGGGGGTGTACTGTAACTTTCAAACCTTTATATAATTATAACTCAAAAAATATTTAATGAAAGAATATTTTATTATGATGTTTTGAAAAAAAAACTCTCGAGATAAGCTGTAAGAATATGTAATACAAAATGGAGATTTTCATTAAAAAAAAATCAATGTGACCTTGATCTGATCTTGATAACGCCATCCAAAGTCAAACTGGTAGATCTTTTTAAACCCATAACATATTTCTGATAGTACCTTATTCTGCGAAGATAAAAGAGTGTACGGGCACCTCATATAATATTATATTGTCTGATAAAATACGTTTGAAACTGTATTATTAAGGCTCTAAAAGAAAAAGTCATTCATAGTGATGCTTTGGGCGTTCAAAATTGGCGGACTGGTATTGCGAAAATCTGCCAACCCTGACCGTGGTCATAATCGGCGCATGTGCCATCCACATCCATGAGCTACGGCATCTACACCTATAGAAAGCGACGCGACGTTTCAATTCTGAGCAACGGTCCTTGCACTACATACTTGCATACAGCACGTCGATGCTCTACGCTTCGCATATGTCGACGCGCCGGCGATTACTTCGACGGCTGTGTGACTATAAAGATGGAAGGAGATAACAGAACGTAATGCGAATAAGATAACGGTGTCTTCGTTGCGGAGAAGGAGACGGTTATAATGTACGCGTGAAGTTCGAATACTTCGAATCGGTATTCCGTACCGACAGTGCCTCGAAGACTGCAAGGCGAAGTTGTCGGTCAATTGTCTGAATAATCTTTCGGATCGACTCTGCTCTGCAGGGAATCCGTGAAGATCCTTGCTCAAGATTCCTGAGATCGTCTGCAGAATCAGTTCGACCTATCGTGACTTCGCCGAACTTGGCGGTGATCATGGGTAAATGTTATTTAAAATTAAATTTGTAAGATTATTATTTTAGCCTCAGTTTATGATTGCATTTCAAGTTTATAAACAATGTACAGATTACATATGATTAGTTATATGCTCGCCGCTTACTATCGGAAATGCAATCTTATATAAACTAAGAATGGAATAATAATCTCACAAATTAAAATATTGAAATTTACATGTAAATATATTATTAAGCATCGTTCGTGATCTTCCTTTATCTATTTAATTTTTCTGTTTACATATATACTTCTCGATATCTCTCGTTCGATAATTACCATAATCGTCTGTTTTATTTGTGGAAAGAACTTTGGACTAACATGAGATAGTCTCTTTAAGTGATCTTCTTTTCGAAAGGAATAAGCGCTGAATTATTAAATAAATTGGAATTGAGGACTAGTCAATGTACGTGAAATCGATAAAGAATGAAAGAAAGTGATAAGAAATTATAAAAAGGAAAATGAAAAGTGGTATAAAATGGATACAAATGGAATGATGATAAGAATGCAAAAGATTTTATATACCTATATCTGAATTCGAATGTATAAATCTTGAACCTCGTATCGGAATACTTCTAGAATCACTTCTAGAAAAATAAATGGTAAAAAATATAAAAATTTGGTATTCATGAAATGATGTAGAACGATGACACAGACGAACATGACATTTTAGCTGTGTCATAAATGGAAAGCACGGAATACTGTTACACAGTGTTATCTGTGTACGTTGCTAGAAAATACCTATTTTTTCATGCAAGACTATTTTGATCTATCCCAAGCAGAACAACATGATAATGTTGCAATAACATCAAAATGAATCGTGAGATCAATCGAGAAATAACTTTTAATAATCACTTTGGAGCCATTTTGATGACATTTCGATATAATCATGACATTTTGTTCTGCTTGGCATATTTCAGATACATTCAATTCATAACAATATAAATATAAATAGATTAATAATAGTATCAATTATTATCATTGCATAAAATTTAAAAAATCCAAATATGCACAGATAATATGATAAATTATAAAACCAGTTATGTAATAGATGAGAGAGGAAAAGAGAAAGAAGGAGAGGGGGGAGAGAGAGAGAGAGAGAGAGAGAGAGAGAGAGAGAGTTTCTTTTGTTTTATATCACAAATTGAACGAATTTAAAAACTATACAAATTATAATAATTCGTAACGTGAGATAAGAAATATGTCTATTTATATTTAATTCACCTTATAATATATATTTATATTACATACATATACATTTATTTATCGATGAGATACTTAATAAAAGTAATATAAATGTACAGTTAATATTCCAGAAAGGCATAAAAGTGGAAAAGTATTTGTAACTCGAGCAATAACTACATAAAATTCGATGTTTAGTACGGCACATTTACTATGAAAAACAGAATGTTTGTTCCTACTAATCTTATTCCTTTAACGATCAATAGCTGTACTTTATCATTAAATATTACTAAGTGGAAAAAATGATGTAACAGATATTTAATAATGTAAACGCAATTTCTATTAGCAATTATAGTAAAAAATATTATTTATTTTATCTATTATCGTTTATGATATTATTATTTATTGTTCGATTGTTTAATACTTTCTAAACTCTTTGGAATCTCACTCTAAAGTGTGAAAATTGAGCCAATCTTGAAAAAGAGTTTAATCTTTAAGAATGAAAATCTTTCAAAGTGAGATTCACTCTAAAAGTTTTAGAGAGTGCAAACAGTTAGAATGTCTCGTCGATTAATTATCACAATGACATAATTTCGATATATACCTACTTTTATCTTTTTTATACGACTCAATCATATAACTTTTTATCGTTACTTATCGATAAATTCGTAAATTTAATTTAATTTCTTCTTTGTCGAGATGAAGTTATCAAATTAGTTGTGCTCGAAACGGATAGCTTCGGCTTCAAACACGAATTCTCTTTATGCTCGAATAATCCCTCTTTCTTACTGTATTGATTTTGCGAAGGGTCCGTATAGCCCTCTAGAAGGGAAGACTATAATTAGGAATTTTCCCCTCTTTAGTGAGAAGAAAGTGTATTTTCGAATAAAGAAATCAATAATTTTCGGTTGGGAGCATTCAAAAATAAAAAATAAGTTTACAAACACATGTACAGTGAACATTTTGTCCTATAAAAATATTTCACCTGCGATGCAAAGTCAGTGAACTTTAAAAATTATACGTACATTAATTTGTAAAATAAAATTATAAGTAGTCTAAGCAAACATAAGTTGTTTTTAAACATTTTTATTGATCCTTTTTATTCGTTTGAAAAGGCCACCATGACAAATCCCATTCTTATAAAGTCTGTGTGACGTCTTACTTTTTCGTAAAAAGTTTTTCTTTATGTCTAAGACGGTCTAAGACATTGATAAATAGTGAAGCTTGTATATTAATAAAATTATCATCGTTCCTCTCTTGCTCTTTAGTCAAGTACTCACGTGAGTTACTTTTAAATTTGATTGTCGTTGATTAGTATTTCTTAATCGTTAATCATTACTGTCTGCTTCGCAGAAATATGCTGTTTTATCGTTTTTAAAGCGAGATATATTTACTTTGAAAGAAACATTGATTTAAAATTTTTTTTTTCTTGTCCAAAATCTTCTATATAATAAAAAATGTAGGTTTGAGTCGCAAATACATTTTTTCAATTTTTATAAACTGAATTTTATTCTAATAAATGAGCTTATGCTGTCAGGTGAAGATATTGAAAACTTTACAGAAAAAATATTCTACAAAAACTCTGCATTGTACTGACTCTATGCGCTTCGTTGCACTTAATTGTATCGTATACGTGTTAACCGGTCTTGCATGTATACATATCATTACATTAGCGGAAATATATACTACGTAAAAAGAGAGTGCGAAATAATCAATATAGATATATTGCGTTTTGTATTTTCATCCCATATTGTTTTTACGTCACATATTTTTTTAATATATATAGAATTTATGTCAGATTTCCATTGACGATACCGCATTACGCGCGCATTCATAATATATCGGAATTGTGTTTTACAATTAAAATTATTCTCCTCATCTTCCACCTTTTTCTAGTAACATTAAGTGCATCGTAATGTGCAGAGTCATTATACATTGCATTACGGTAAACGACCAGATGACCTCGTTTAATATCCATTTTATGAAACATTTCCGGAACTCATAAAACCGGTCATGCATCGTGCGGATCTAATTTTTATTACGGAAAAGAAATAAATACGACTTTCTTGGGTCTTGACTCTTGAGTGTTACGGAAAAGAAATGAGTACGACTTGTTACGGGTAAGAAATGAGTATTTAAGTAATCGTTTATGTTTTGCATATGTCATCTGAGAAATCAAATGATCTCTTGGATGATATCGCCACCTTGAACCAGTAATATATCTCTATATATGTTTAAATATGTAAAATATTTAAAATATATTAAAATTTTCAACATATTTTTGAAAAAATTTTACATAGGTGACTAATGATCTATTTACTAGTGACCGGTACGTTACTGAAGCTACATTGGACGCGCATACGTCAGAAATCCGGCTCGTCTAACAACACTGCCTTGAGCAGTACTGAATTGAAAGGGAAGATCACTGTATGATATTTAAAAAATCAAATTTTTTTTCATTTTTGTAAAGTTTGGAATTTAAAATATATATCCTTAATAATTTATATTTTATTTTTTATGTCTTAGACAGAACGCGACTTACGTACGTCACAACTGCTGCTGTGGGCGTTAGCACGGCAGTTTTCTTCATCTGGTGGTGGTGGAATAGAAAACAAAAGCCTCAGCCACCGTCAAAGTGGCGAAAAGTCGGAGAACTAAGTGATATGGTTGTATTCCCCGTTAAATCACTCGGTGCAGTTCGCATGACAGAGATGGAATGCACCACATTGGGACTCAAGTCCGGATGGTTGAGAGATCGAACACTGCTCGTTATCGATCTCGAGGGACGATTTCTCACCGCCAGACAGCTTCCCAAAATGGTCAATGTGAGAAGCTGTGGAATTTATTTTCTTTATTATTATAAGAGAAAAAGAGGATAGAGAATATAATTTTTTAGAATTGTTTTAATATTTATACAGTAACTATTTAATACCCTTTTGTTACTTATTGTACGTAATTATTATACATATATTACAATATATATATATTAGAATATACAAAAAATAAGATAACGAAAAGGTTATTAAGAATGTGGATACATATTTTACTAGATCGAAGAAGTTGATCGATACTGCTAATATAAACACAGTTGGTTAATCATGTTTTCTTTTTATTATTACATACATATTTTAATGCTCAATCAAAAATGAAGCTATAATTAATAATTCCAACTATGGAAGCTATCATCCATTTTTTTGTTACGTTAAAGGTATCGCCTAGTTTTTCCGGTTCCGTGCTTACGCTTCGTGCTCCAGGCATGATGTCGGTGTCGGTGGACCTTGCACAATTCCGTGGTAAAGGTTTCCGTGTCGCTGTGTGGGGTCAAGCGGTACCGGCACGCGATTGTGGTGAGGAAGTTGCCCGATGGCTGTCGCGTTTTCTTTTTCAAGAAGATACCGGATGCCGGCTGGTTTATTATCCGTTAGATCGACCAGTGAGAACAGTGAGACAGAGAAATCTAAAAGTATTTCCTTTGCTACAAGAGACAGACTCGGTAAGTATTTTGCAACGATAAAAGATATAAGATTATTTTTAATATAATTATTTTTTTATTTTTATTTGTTTATTGTTTATGGCTGCGGTCCACTTAACACTACAAACGCTTCGAAGCGTTTGAGCGACCAATCAGAATAAAGAATTTTATGAATTGACTAATCAAAGAACGCTTCGAAGCGTTTGTAGCGTCAAGTGGACCACAGCCTATATCTAAACATCTTAACAATCTTCTAACTATCCTAATCATTCCTCAGAAATGTTTCTAACAAAGAGATCACTCTTTAACTTTTAATATTATGCACTTTCGTATTATGCACTTCCATTATAACGAAGTTCCATTATAACGAAGTTGACTAATAATTAAAAACCGGCAAATACAAGTCGCATATGATTGACGATGTAGAAATTTGAATGCAAAAAAAATTTAGTCGTGCATATATAATCATTAAAATACCATATTACATTTCAGTTCATTTTTTGAACCATCTTCAGTTCGAAAAATGAACTCTCGAAATTGATTAATTTGACTTTTTTCCATCATTTCTGTCACTAACGTTATTATTGATAAATATTTCGATATAATTTATCAATTATTAATGATGCAAGAAAAAAAAAAGTCCTTACGTCGTTTATATAATATTGAGGAGTCATAGAAAATATGATTGTGAAAATAGAAAATACAATTTTATATATGTATAAATATAATTCGAATTAATCATAAAAAGTGATTTTATTACAATGTTTTAAATGAAAACTGCAAAAAATGTCACAGGGAGCCTATCCAGATGAAACAAGTTTCAGTATGATCAACGAAGCTTCAGTAGCAGATCTTAATAGCCGACTAGACGAACCAGTTACGCCGCAGAATTTTCGCATGAATTTCGTGGTCAAGGGTGCCACTGCTTTTGAAGAAGATAAATGGGATTGGGTAAAGATCGGGAACGTAATTCTGAGAAATGTTAGACCCTGCACAAGATGTATCTTCACTACTATAGATCCGGAAACTGGCATAAAACATGCTAATGCGGAGCCTCTGAAGACTTTGAAAACGTACATATGTATTTAAAAAATTTATAGCTGTAAAATTATATTTTTAAGATTTTCTTAACCAATGTATAATATATAACAAAAAGAGGTATTATTGCATACAAAATATTTTACGCAAAAGTTGTCGAAAAATTTAGTATAACTATAGTACCTCGTGCCGCTAATAACGAAAAAATTGTTTTGTACAGTTATAGACAGATAAGCGATCCGCAAATTCGACCTGCAATTGGTGACAGTCCAGCTATGGGAATTCATCTTGGACTGCGAGGGCCAAATGGGATAGTCCACTTAGGTGATCCAATTTATGTGGGCATCCCGGAAGAGGAAACATCATCTTTGGTTTCACCATCATAGCTATATCGTTGGGACTCTTGCGAGATTTCAGAACATGAACTCGATACGGATTTAATGATCGAGGACCAAGACGTGAAAAGCGGAGTTCCAGAATGATGAAATATTGATAGAGTTATATATATGCATATATGTATGTGCGTATATATCTTCAGTTAGGTAGGTACATCAGGTCTACATATCTTCTGAAAGATTAGTGGTAAGAATAATAATATATGTTATAAAACTGTACAATTGAGGGAATGGGCGGAATAAAAGCCTAATTACAAAATCTTGATATTAATAAAAATTAAAATAACTTGCTACTTTTTTATTATACACAAATGGGTACAATATCAAATGAATTTATGTAATGTCTTTAAGAAGTTATATGTTATAATACTTCCCTATTACGATCAATATTACATAAAAAGCTACTTGCCGAAAAAAGGCTTAAGTAGAATTGTGCCTTTATTCCGCCCTTCAATTGTTAACTCTGTAATAATAGAGTTAGGATCAGATGTAACCTCACGGCACTAATTAGATATAAATATAGTTTCTTGAAAAAACGTTTCGATATCGAAAATAAGTCGAAAATTTTCAAAATTTTTATTAATTTTGATAGATTTGTAACATATATTATATGTATATAATTGCGGAAATTTGTTTTTGTAACCTCATTGAGGATTAAAGTATATATATCTATCTACTAAATTAATTATTAAGTAATATGTAGTTAATTTAATACAAGTGTATTAAAATTAAACAAATATAGGTTTGATATGTTTCAGTCTTACTTTATCAATATATTTAATTTTTTTCATGTCAAAAATAATTTATGACAGATATTACCACAATATTGAAGTATCATATGAAATAAATTAACATGAGTTTATTATAACAGCTGATACTTGCAATATTTCGCTATTAAATTGATATTTCGTGATATGTTCTAATATTAAATGTGTAATTAATATCGGAACATATTCTAAAATATCTCTCAATTCAATATATAAATTTTATATATTGAATTTTAGAAGCAGAAATAATTTCTTAATAAAAATATTCGTATATAGTAATCTCGACATTGTAAAAGCCTCGTGAAAGCATCTTTACCACTTTTTATACCTATATTGCACGGTATGTAGTTTATTTGTAAAATAAGGAAATGAAAAATAATAACATATAAATTGTTCTACTGCGTTTTGTTTAATTTTATTATATTTTATAGATAATATATTTTATTAAGGTGTTTCCAGACAATATGGCCAATATGCGCCAGATTGTCAAAGATTAGACACATACAGACACACGACATGCATAATTATCCATGAATGTAGACCAATTTAGTGAATGTTGTACAAAGTTGATTTATGTTGGCCAAATCGTTTGGAGGCACTTTTATGCGAATCTGATCTACAAATTCTATCAAGGCTTAGTGATCTTTGTCAATTTTATATTAATATTTATATTACACAGTATTTGTCTAATTTTTGTAAAAACTTTGTCATAAATATATAAATACGAAAGAGAACGTCAATAAACGGACAAAGTTAAATGTTTCTAATAATACAATATATATTCTTCGTTAAATCAACTTATTTAAGATATGATTGCAAGCCGAAACATTTGTCATAAATATTTTTGTAAAAAATAATAAATATTTTTGTAAAAAATTGTAATAAATCATTAATGTGTTTTCAAATGATAATATTCGTACATATATACAACGAGCAGAAAAATGATTGTATAAAAACTAGTTTTCTTATATAATATTATCAAGAGTGGACATATAATATAATCATCCATTCATATTTCAGGAATATTGTTTAATATTATATAATTTTAAAAAAATATTATTAAAACATTACATTTAATATTGTAATAATATAACTAAAATATGTATTATCTAATATTAAATAATATTATTATTATTAAATAATATTAAATATTATTATTATGTGCTTATATTAAAATTATGTCATAAATAGGTTCAAAATACAAAAAATAATAGTAAAAGTAACTGTTAAATTTACCGTTACCAAAAAGTTATCGTTACCAAAAAAAGTAACTTGTAACAGTAATTTAAGTAACGAGTACTTCCATTCTTTGAACATTCACTCGCGACAATAAAGATGAAGATTTTTTAATGTTTATCAACTGTAATTTCATACTATATAATTTTAATAATTACATATCTACTGTACAATATTGATAATATTTTCAAAGAACGGATAAGTTAGCATTCCTTCCTTCCTTTACAAAAAAGTTCTCAAATTCCAAATGCACAACAAAGTACTTCACTCGTGGAAGCTTAAAATTTTCAAATTATGAGTATAAATCTATTGTGTTTGTGACATATTGTGACTATGAAAGCGTTCCATGTACTTTTGTTCTCGGCCTTAATCGGAATGTTTTTGCAAAATTTGTATGTACATATTGATGTATTATAATAGTACACCACAGATTGATACATAATTACAAAAAAATTTTTATTACAAACAGTTTTTATGTAATATTGCATTATATCTATCAACTTGTGAGAAGCGAATGTCACTAAAAGTGTATAAAGATATCTTCTGTAAATGAAAAAAGCTTGTAGATATAAAAAATGAATATTTTAGTGGGATATATCTATACTTTAATTTACTTTAAGAGTATAATATCTTCATATGTAATACGTATATCTATTTATTTTAATCACTCACTATCGAAAATAATATTTTTCTAAATATAACATTATGGCACGTTAAAAAATCAATAATTGTAATGACACGTTAAGAATTTCTACTTGCATTGGAAAATATTATACTATGAAACACTAAAAGGTTCTAAGATGCTCAACGTACAACGTATAAAGGAAATTTACATTAGGTTTATTTCTTAGAATTTATTATTTATTTAATAAATTTGAATAATTTCGTGCTTGAAATTGTCAGCTAAATTAATCATTAATAAACTTCTTTTAATTCAGTTTTATATCTTCTTTTAATTAAACTCTTGATCAAACGGGACCATCTTCAAATTCCACTAAACTTTCTAATGATACAAGACTAATAGGCTCTGTTTTGATAAGAACTATTTAAAAAATCACACAAAAGATTATATTTATTATTGGAACACAAGAAATATTTATTCTGAAGGGATAAAAAATACATATAGACAAAGATGTTTTAATTAAAATTAATGTTTTAAATTCAACATTATAAAAATTAATAAATGGATAATGTTATCTGATTCTATTTTTATGTCTGTTTATTATCATACTTATGATAGAGATAGAATTAATATACATATATGTATATATCAAAAAAGTTAAATAAAAATTATATATTATTAATTAAATATGAACAAAGATCAATAATCGAGCAAAAAAAGTTACAAACAAATTAGATAATTATCAATTATGTCTTTACAACGAGAGATTATACGATTACCCTGTATATAAAAATACATTATAAGAATAAAATTAAAATTAACTACAAATTTTATGTTTATATTAATACGTTATATTATTGTTATTACAAGAATAATTTTACGTATCTTTACTTTACAAAAAGTATTATATTCTGCGCACAACGTCAATATATAAAATAGTTTATCAAAGTTATTAGCGTCGAACTCAAGTCGACACGTATCGTTAAAAGCCACGTATGTAAAAAGCATCCACATTTGTGTTTAGTATAAAGACATAATATTACAAGAATAGTTACGTTTATAATCGTTTATGCCTCGTAATAATACATACGTATAAATAATTCCGCGAAAAGAAAGGCAATCTAATCTAGATTATCTATGTGCTTATTCTATCGTTTAATACTTGCTGGTTGAATGGCATATACATACATTATCTATTAATGTACATATTTTACAGTGTAATTCTCACAAAGTTCCTAGAGAATCTGCAAAAACTATTTCTGAAATTCTTATAAAAAATATTAAAATGTGTTTGTGTCTCGTGTAGTAAAAACTAATTCAAATTACTAGCCAACGACTCGGAAACTATGACAAAGACGCGACAGACAGCGCTGGCACCATTATTGATCATCGGCTCGTTCTGCAATTTTGGGTTTATTCGAATATCCACTTGGACAAACTAGGCCGTATCTCTCTTGCCTGTATGTCTTGATCACATGGAGCTATTTTAAGTATTCCATTTACTATATCCATTGTAGATCGTGCTGGAAGATGTATTCTCGATATCAACATCTATCATATAATGCTCGATTGTTAGCTTCTTTCGTTTTAAGGTAAAAATTTTTTAATATATACTACTGACCGCGCTAATATTTTTACCTTTGTTTAATCATTTTTTGCATTAAGTGCATTAAAGGAGTTTTGATCTCACAATTATAGGCAACATACGAATATAAAATACACAAATATAAAAAGTTTTTAAACAGATCAATTTTAACATTTATATTATTTATTGTAGACAAAATATATTTGGTAAAATTAATGTTTGTATTTATATTATTTTCCTAAATTGGATTTCGATATAATTTTTTTAAATTTTATGTTTCAAATACTAATTAAATTGCAATAACTCTTTTATCTGTCACATTTCCTATATATTATATATTGCAATAACAATTTCTATTAAATGAAAATTATAAAGCTAGTAAGGTCTTTTAATGCTATAATTATTAAAAACAAATAAAATAAATTCTAACAAATGTTTCTACCCCGACCGGTTATTCTCAATGTTAACTTACAATTAAAAAATTAAACCGGTACATATAATGTGATTATTAACGCAGTGGGAAAATTGTGAAAAAAACAAAAATTAAATTATAAAATTTTTTTTTAATACTCACTTTTGTTTCCTCAGTAGTAAAAAAAAACGGTTGTCGTTTATCAAAGTTAATGAAGGCAACCACGACTTTTCTGCGGGTCGGAATTTCTTTTATGTAGCGTAATATCAAAGTGCAAAAACTGTTAAAAACGGCGTTAAATCTAGAAAATTACAATAGTATTACAATATGCTTGTAAATGAGCATTGTCGTAATTGCAGAATAAATATAACAAAACAATTGAATATAAATTAAAAAAGTACCTGGCAAATTGGTTGCAATCCATTTAAAAACGAATCGACGAATACTTAATTAATATAAAAAGCTATATAGATAAAGCGACACAAATTGAACAAATTTTGCACAAGAGAACTCAGGTCCAAATTATAGATGTTCACTTGGTACGTTGTAAAATAATAATGATTGTTATAACAAAGGCAGAGGATAACTAGGTGAGTAGGAGAAGTGTAA